GCGGGAAAATGGCTGACTCGGAGACTAGCAAAGCTGGGAAGTTGAAACATTCAGGAAATGTTCTCAGCCCATGTATGACTTAAAGTTATCAAATTCAGCCTCCCAGGCATGTGCGATTCTCGTGTACGAACATTTAAATTTCGGCAGGGAAATTTCTTATTGAATAGCTGAGTCATTTTCAAATAAAAACGACCGCTAAAGGGAAACTGTTTATTTCCTTTTATGTAAAATTTACGAGATTTACGGTATTGAGCACACAAGGTAGGTATGAAGAAACAACCGTTCATGCAGTTAGCCAAATTACTTCAAGTTTGGTACACGATAGAAAACTGGTAATCATGTAAATCGTGATCCACGCGGCGTTATAATAATACCTTCATCCTAACCGAGACCCTTTCCTCCTGTATGCCGGAAGAGGTCAAAGCGTAGTTTGTCTAGAAATACAACAGTAGCATATCGAGGCTGTTTCTGCTGTGCCAGATGCACGTAATAGTCGTAGGAACCAGAAGTAGGAGAAAAGCTAAACTCCCCATCCCTGCTCTTGCGACTTGTACCACGCTTTACCGCGACTCCAGCAGCACTCTTCGCGACAAAGACTCTGTTCAAGCCGAACAAACGAATACAACCGCACAGGCAAGCACAGCAAACGTAAATGTGACCATGTGGAAGAAACGCAGTGATCGACCGAGCACTGCTCTACAGCACGCCGCCGTGCCGGCATTTTCCCGGCATTTTGAATGCTGAGAATTTATCGCACATACAACTGCGTGTATGCATTAAGCTCATAAACCTCTTACGCGCAGCTGACTTTTTTTTCAAATTAATCTAAACTAATAACTCGGGTTTTGCTGTGCGTAGTGCTGTCTAGAGTTACGTCACTTTCCTCTCTATGCATAATTGGCATATTCATCACGCCTCGCCAGCCGCATCCAAATGATCCATTGCGAGTTGAACTGAGGCGACAGGAGCGCTGCTTACTTCAGCCCCACTTCAAATTTCTCCGAACAGAACGCTCCGCTGTCTAGATTTTATATCGCAGTATACAGAGCTTTGCAAAGCACCGTGGACAGATAGCACTGTAGCACTAAAAATCCGCAAGAGACTGTGCAAAAACGCGTGATCCCACCGGCTCGCCTGGTGTTTTCCAGCTTGGGTTTTTAATTAAGGCTGCGGTCCAGCCTTCTTACAGCCGCAGATTATAATTCCTGGACTCGAAACAGTAACCAAACCTATTTCTATAAATGTCGACACCTTCAACGTCGGAAACATCACCAATGACTAATCAGTCAATTTGCTGCTACGAAAACTCCAGAACACTCGCATTTGAAACCAGGCAGGGACTGTAGTCAGTTACACGGCAGGAAAATGCCGCGCAGAACGTGTTAAGAGCGACCGATAAAGGGTGCAAGTTACTGGATCCATTCTGAGACTGCAGGACGAACAGAATCATTTTGTGCAACTTCAAATCACCACGAGTTGGAGCGAAATACTCACATCAGCAGAAAATTCGCATTGGATTTTGTGCCAGTCTGTTTGTCGGCCAAAAACAAAAACATTCATTGTTTCGCTGAGGAAACTGTCGCAGCTTTAAATAGCAAATCACAGAAAATGATAGGCAAACAATTTGGTGTCAAAATCGGAAATGAGAACGGTCAGAAGAGTTTGTAGGCCTTGTACTGGAACAAGAATCGTTTATATTGGTACAAGTCGCTATTCTTACCTAAAACGTAGCAGTCGCAAAACGAGGTAAAATTATCGTGGACCGCTACATTTCTTAATTCTGTGAAAAGCAAAAGCTGTCAGCTTACTTGTTTCAACATCAACCGTGTCTTCGTCTGTTTCCGACAAAATTTCATTTCCTAGGATGGGCTGTTCCAGCTGAAAAATAATACAAATTGAGCCTATATCGCTGAAGTCAAAATATGTGGAGTTCGGTTAGGCTGCAGCTGCATTATTTTATATCAATATGTGTCTTCGTTGCAGGACGCAACGAATATTTGAAATAAAGGCATAAAAGCAAAAAAAAAAATCAGGCACTGCAACTCACTCCAGTAAGATTTGTGAGCTATGTTTTCACTGGGTTATAAGTAAAATCAAATTAATTTAAAAAAGAACGTTGATTAAATCGAGACGGATTTGTTGTTATAAAATCTTCTAGAAGAGGTTTGGAGGAGGATGCGAATGATATGAGGAACAAACTGAGCTTGGAAACACTGGCATTATCATGAAGCTGTCATTTTTTCATGCGTTTTAACTAGATTTTAGGCGTGCGCAATTAGGTGTTAGCAAGAATAATTCAGTAACCTTCCGAAAGTGTTCTCTCAGTTCATCCAGTAATCTGCTATTATGTACATAGATCTCCCAGTAGTACTTCTGAAATACAACCCGCATCTTTTCAGTGGTGTTTTAGCCAGTGGCCGGCTAACAGTTCAAACAGCATATGTTACTTCTTCAGTCTAGTTAGAAAATTACCAATATCAAGTTATTAATAATTGACCAGCACACCGACTGCCGAAGATGCGTTTTTATGCGTTTTTGCTGTGCAGCAAAAACGCATATTGTCGAGAGGCTGTCTGTGTGTGTGTGTTCGCAATGCGAGTGCATTTTGT